AATCCATCCAAGTTGTTGTGAAGTCCATATGTTTGTCCTTCTTTATGGCTGCATAATATTTCATTGTGTATATATACCACATTTTTCAAATCCAGTCCAGTTTTGATGGGCAGCAGGGTTGGTTCAATTTTTAACTTTTGAAACTCAAGAAATCTTCTCACAGTCATATATGGTAACTAGAAACCAGTTAGGCATTTATAAAATCATTTTATTTATGTCAGTTTTTAAAGAGTACATTATAAATTTTATCTTAATGTAAAATTAAAGATACTTTTAAACTTTCCTCTTTAACAGTCTACACATTTTTCTAAAGCTAACTACATTAAAAAGTGTGGTTTGTCAGCAAATTTTAAAATGATATATGTTATCTGTGTTGGGGGACTGAATGTATACTAATATCTATATTTAAATTTTACATATTAAATAGTTTGGCATCAAAAGGAGCTTTTGTGATTTGATCATGACCAGCAATGTTAAATTCTTTCATTTTGATATTTTAAAACTCAGTTGGCTTATTTTGATGATTTTCCCATACTGTTTCTAAGTGAAGTGACAAGAAAATATATTTTGTATTGTTATTTACAAGCATTTCTCAGACAGTCTTTAGTCTCAGTAAGAAAAAAGTCAAATTAGAAATAATTGTCACTATGTTTTTTTCTTTCCTGTACTGTTTTGGTAAGTATTAGAGACACCCGTGACTGCTAAATATGAATTTTGATCAGATAAATATGTGATGAATGCAGGGAAAATAACCTGGAAGCATGTTTTACAGAGCTAGTTCGAATTTTAATTTCCTTTATACTTGTGTCTCAGCTTCATTGTTTGTTTTGCTTTCTGACTTTAATCGATGGGCCATTATGAATAGAAATGAAACAATCTGACATTGTAGAGTAACTGACACCACTGCAGTAACCAGGCACCTCCATGATCCTCAACTTCCAAGGCTGAGTGATGACCTTGGTCATATGACTACCAGGCACCACGGCATATGTTCACTTGATAAAGACACTCGGAGGTTTCCCAACATTTCTAGTTCTAATAGAGGAGGCATAATTATTTTACTTGTTTATTTTTTAAAAAGTAGAAGCATAAATAAATATCACCACACTTACTAATATCATTTTTCTGGTCAGTAATTCCTCTGAAAGGCACTCCCTGGCCATAGAAACTAAAGAAGCACCTCTCCCCCAATAGTTTTCTGTCCTATTACCCTGTTTATAGCTATCAATGCACTCATCACTATCGATTATTTTTCCATTTCCTTTTAGGCTTATTTATTAATTGTCTATCTTTCTCTATGTAGGTGTAGTGTCTAGAAGGAGGATCCACTTAGCATCATTCTTCCCGATCCTAGCCCCCCTCTGCTCCCCCACCCCGCGTGCATCCTGTTGTGTTGGGGACGTTAATCTGCTTGGATGCCTTTCTTCAACACTTCATTCTTCACACAGTCCTCACATCAAAATGGAGCACAGGGTCAGGCTCAGTGGCTCAGCCTGTAATCCCAGCACTTCGGGAGGCCGAGGCCAGTGGATTGCCTGAGCCCACGGTTTGAGACCAACTCAGGCATTGGGCGCGATCTTGTCTCTACAATAAAATCAAAAATTAGTCGGGCATGGTAGCATGGGCCTGTAGTTCCAGGACATTGAAAGGCTGAGGTAGAAAAATCGTGGGAGCCCAGCAGGTCAATGCTGGGGTGGCTGTGAGCGTGCCACTGCACTCCAGCCTGGACCACAGAGTGAGACTCCAACTAAAAAAAAAAGGAGTGCAAATCCTACTATTAATGTAATTTAAAATGTAATTTAAGGGAGTGAATGCAGGAGGTTAGGATCATTTTGTGTGTGATATCCCTTGCCACTTTCCTTTTCAAAAAGCAGCAGGATTTCCTCGTGTCATGAAATCACATCCCTGAGCCCCCAATGCCATGAAATCACATCTTATGTCAGAGGCAAAGAGTCCCAGTCACGCGTGGGTTGAGCTTCCTTCCCAGACCGTCTGCTGTTGCCCAAGCTCCTCTATTCCTTCTCTCTGTGACTAAAACCTTTAGCAACACCCTGAGGTTTATGCTAATTTATTTCTAGAAACCAAGATGTGGAAGTCTGCTAAATGATCGGGGATTTTTTTTCATGTCTGGAGAAATGTGGGGTGTTGTCAGCTGCTGGTGCTTCTCTATGCTTTTCTGGTCCTTCTGTTTCAGGGACCTGAGAGCAGAAAGGAGAGGCATGAGAGAGAATGCCTGAGGATGGAGATAAAGTCCCGAAAGAAAGCGGAGGAAGAAAGGAGCTCCTGGAAAGAACATGGAGAAACACACATGGCTCCTCTGTTGGAAAAAGGGCCCGAATAGTACGTGGTTTCCACACCATGACATCAGACACTACTGTTTTTTTGTTTTTTTGCTTTTTTGTTTTTTTTTTGTGAGCCCTACAAACGATTTCAGGATGGGGTGGGGAGGGAAGGTCTTGGGGTAGGGAATCGCAGCTATAAAGATTGTCTGCTGATGCCGGGTGATAGAAGCAGGCAGGGCTTGCAGCGGCTCTCCTAGATGACTTGCTTCATACTCCAATTCCTGTTGACGTCTTAGTTGAGAGTGTCATCTACTTTGTTGCCTTTTTATGGGAATAAGAGAATAAAAGGTATTTTAATAGAATAAAGAAAAATGTGAAAAAGTAATAAAAAGATATTTAAGGAGCCACCCACCTTAAATATCTTTACCAACCCTTCTTCCTCGTCAACCTCAAAAACCGTCTGAAATAAAAGTCATTGGTGTGACTCAAAGTGTACTTTCTTATTCGAAGTAATTATATAAGTATGTGTAATGGCCATCATCTAAGGAGAACTGGTAATTAACATGCCAAGTACTGTGCTGAATGCTTCAGTACATCATCTAAAATATCCTTATCACTCTGAGGTGGGGCCTTGTATTGTCTCCAGAGACACAGAGCCAATAGGAAGTCCATACATAGATAGCGAAGTTGGCTCACATGATTATGGGCTGGGAAGTCCCAGATAGGCCATCTGTAAGCTGGAGAACCAGGGATGCCGGTAGCATGGCTCCACCCAAGTCCAACGGCCTTGGAGCCAAGGATGCTGGTAGCATAGCTTAGTCCAAGTTTGAAAACCTCAGAACCAGGGAAGCTGATGGTGTAACTGTCAGTCTAAGGCCAAAGGCCCAAGAACCTGGGGATGGAGAAGGGGCACTGGTGCCAGTTCTGAGTTCAAAGGCCAGAGAATCTGGAGTTCTGAAGTCCAAGAGTGTTCTGGCTCTGGAAGAGAGAGGGCCAGCAAATTTGCCTTTCACCTGCCTTTTTGTCCCATCTAAGCCTTCAGTCAATTGGGCGGTACCCACTTACACTGGTGAGGGTAGATCTTGCTTACTCAGTCCACTGATTCAAATGCCAGTCTCTTCTGAAAATATCTGTATGGACATACCCAGAAATGATGTTTTTCCAGCTATCTGGGTTTCTCTTAATCCGGTCAAGCCAATGCATAACATTCACCCTTACAAACTTATTCTTTTCTTCATTTTCTGGTTGAGGAAGTTTAGAAAAAGTTTAGTCAGAAGTTCAGGAAAATTCTGAAGCAGGCTGGTGTGGTGTGGCAGAATTAGGGCCAGAGCTGAGTTTATACCGATGCCAGAGCTCATTCTCCTAATGCGAGACAGGACTTTCCTTCCCTTTAAAAGCAGGTCCCGACTTAGTAGTCATGTGATGTGAGTATGAATGAGTGAATGTGAGTGAGAATAGCAGGAGGGAGGAGCTTACAGTTTTAGTTATATGAGTGAAGACTGATTCTCTGAGGTCAGCTTTGTGCTCTGGGTTTTAACTTGATGAGATCATACTCTATTACTATTTTTTTTTCCCTAGAAGAAAAGATACAGGCATTCTCCAATGCTTTTCCTGCTTATTCTTGATAAGAATAAGGTCTTGGATCTTCAAATGCCCAAGAGCAGCTAGATTCTCCATTTTGCAAAGAAGAAAATTTCCCCAAACTACTATATGCAACTAATACCATAATTGTTTACTTATGCAAGACACTAACTTAGACCTAGACAGTAGAAAGAAGGAAAGGGAGCAAAATAAATTAAGAGAAAAACAGTGCAAATAAAATAAACTATAATGATCTTGACTAGCATTCTTTCTACATCGTTTGTCTTCATCCATTCTGGATGGGTATTTTCACATGACCTTGTATTTATTTGTTGTTTTATTTTATTTTAGATTATGAGGGTACATGGGCAGGTTTGTTGCATGGGTATATTGCATAATGGTGAGGTCTGGGCTTCTAGTGAACCCAGCACCTAAATAGTGAACATTGTACCCAATAGATAATTTTTCAACTCTCACCCTTCTCCCACTCGCTCCCGTTTTAGAATTCCCATTGTCTATCATTTTCATCTTTATTTCCATATATCCATTATTTAGCTCCCTGTTATAAGTGAGAACATGTGGTGTTTGATTTTCTGTTTGTGAGTTATTTCACTTAGGATGATGGTCTTCAACTCCATCAATGTTGCTGCAAATGACACAATTTCTTGGCTGCATAATATTCCATGGCAAATTCCATTTTTTAATCCAGTCAACTGTTGATGGACATGTAGTTAGATTTCATGGCTTTACTGTTGTGAATAGTGCTTCATGTGGCCTTTTAAACACAGTATTATGCTTTTCCAAACATGTAATGAAAGATGAACTCAAGCTCTCATGTAGTGACTCTCGCCTATTATTTGCCACCACTGGGGGCGGGAGGGGGTGCGGGTAGGAAATGAATCCTGACCTGGCATTGAGGTCTGCTTTGTTCTGCAGTCATGAGTAAGGCAGTTGTTTTTCTGCCCTTGCTTTGTCTTCTTTTCAGTCCTGCTATGGTAATGTGGGTGGACATTAACGGGTCTCTGTGTCACAGGATCTCCAAGACATCCATAGGTGGTCAATAAGGAAGTCACCGGCAGTCACGGGCAGTCACGGACAGTCACGTGCAGTCACCAGCAACATCTCCAAGGAAAGGATTTAAGCCAGGACTCTGGGGGGCCACGAGACCACACTCACTTAGAGGGTAGGCCCCCTCCCTGTCTGTGGGGGGGGTGAACTTTTCTTAAATAAATCTTTTCTTCTCTCACCTTTATGTGTCGCAATTCTTTGCATCTGCTCGGTTCTCTGGGTTGCCAGTGCACCCTTGCGGGTTGCCAGCCCCGGTAGTGGTGCGCGCCTCCCCGCGCCTCTCCACCCTCACCCTGTCGGTCCGTACCCTAATAGCTACCCGAAACTTAAAAATTATACATGTGTCTCACATTATATTTCTATTAGAAGCACTGATCTATGCCCTCACTAACTCTCAAACCTCTTTTTGTATTACTTGAATTTTATTTTGTAAGTTTTACTGAGTTTGAGATGCGTTGAAATTTAATTATCCAAAGTATGGGTTAATTGGCCTAATACTAGTTAAAGTATTTTAAATAAAGTTTGTTATATCTGAATCTGTCTTCCCACCTTGCCTTCTTTCTTCCTCCCCCCTCCCTCCCTTGTTTCCTCCTTCCTTCCATCTTTTTTCTCCAAGTAAAAAATGTTTTCATCTTTTGCTATTCTCTCCTGTGCTGTAGTAAACCTTATGTATGTTTTATCATGTAGTGCAATGATTCTCTTACATGTCTGTCTTCCCATCTAGACTGTGAATGCTTAATGGCAGGAACCACATCTTAATTATCTTTGTGCCGCCCAAACCGAATAGGTGCCTATCCCATAGTAGTGACTCAAAATAGTCAGCCCTCTGTATCCGAGGTTTCCACATCACAGATTCAACCAACCACAGATAACAAATATTCAAAAGGAAAACCAAGAAAAATAATGTATATAAAACCCAATACAGTGTAACAACCATTTGCATAGCATTTACATTGTATTAGGTGTTAAAAGTAATTTAGAGATGATTCAGTGTATACAGGAAAATGTGCACAGGAGAATGTATACACACCCGCTTTGCATCACATCCTGGATTTTGATATCTGCGGGAATTCTGGAACCAATTCTACAGCCAAAGGGATGACTGTATATAGTTTGAGGGTGCAACTCCAAACAATCAGTGTCCTAAAACTCAAATTAATTCTGCCCGTTTTAGGAAAGACGTTGTCACATATTACTCTCTCAGGATAAAAAACTATGTTTGTAGTTAATATTTTCCCTCCTAAAATGGAAACTTTTGTGCTTATAAAAGTAATATCAGATACATTTTAAAATAATGGAGAAGCTGGAATGTGACAGCCCCGGGAGAATGCTGTGTCGGAATCATAAACGATCCACAGCTCCGCACGGCTGTCGAGGCACTGCGGCGACTCCACTCTAGGGGGCAGACTCGCACCGGCATTGGAACGGGCGGTGCAGGACGCGAGCCGCAGGGTTGGGTCAATCGTAAAACCACGCGTTGCTGCTGCTGCTGCTGCTGCTGCTGCTGCTGCTGCTGCTTTTTTTTTTTTTTTTAAATGAAAGTCACAGTTTTATTTTTGCTCTTAAAAATTTGCAAATCGGTGTATACATTAAATGCCATCAATCACGAAATTCTTTAAAAAAAATTTTTTTTTGGTTTTAAAGATGTGAGGGTACAACTCAGGGCTAGGTCTACAAATGGTCATTGTACAGGTCAAGTTTGGGCCTCACTTTCTCGTTGCTTTCAAACGGAGGGAAGGCAGCATCTCCTACCACAACCTCCCGAGTTGGGTAATTTTTATGACGTATTAATGTATTTAAAGGTACTCAGGAAGGAGGATGACAAGCCGGTTATCTCCATGGGGCATCAAAGTACAGGGAGGGTTTAAGATACCGTGCGGATGATTTACATGTGGTACCACGGGAAATTTTAGACTGGGAAAGTGAGGGACCGTAAATTCTCATTTTCTGTCTTTGTATTATTTAACGTCCTATTCTAACCTTGGATTATGTAATTCCATGCTGGCTGAATTCCTGCTGTGGCTTTGGAGCCAGTTTATCATATTAATTGGCTGAGCACAATCCTATCCCATCTGCCCGAACAGAGATGTGAGGAAAAAATGGACAGTGAACTACAAAAGTCCTCTGTGTTCTCCAGTTTGTGCATGTATCTGTGCCAGCAGCTCTCCAGGGCCTTAGACTCCAACATCTGGCCACGCTTGCTGAAACTGAATCTACATTGGCTTGTGAGCTCTGAGTCTCTCCCTTGCTTACTAACTGCCAGGATGCATTTGTTCATTCAACAATGATTTTCTTGACTGATTTCAGTGCACTGGGGATAAAACAATGCACGAAACAGAAAGTCCATATCTTTGAGGAGCTCACACTCCACTGATGAAGATAGTAAACAAAAATCAAAGAAATAAAGCATAATGTCACAAAGAATAAGACCTATAAAATGAAATAAAAATTTAAAAGCCTCTCTGATGAGGTGACATTTGACATGAATGAAATGAGAGGAAAGGACTCCAGGCAGAGGTGCAGCAGTGCAAAGGCACTGAGGTGAGAGCCTACGTGGATTCATTTACAAATGGCAAGGTAGTTCTGGCCAAGCATGCAGTGGAAAATGAGGCTGGAAACTGTCAATGCTGGGCAATCTGTGGTCTAGGTGGCTGTTATTCTAAGTGCCATGGGAAGCTACAGAGTAGGTGAATCACCGGATCTGATAATTTTATGGAAAAATTCACCACAGGGGCAATATCAGATATACTCCCATGCCATCTTCCCCAAGTTCCATTATTAGTCACTGATAGCTCTGTGGCAGAGAGTTAAAGAAGAGTTTTTTGCCATGGGAAT